TCCGGGGCAGGCGGGGATCGAACTTATGCAGAAGTAGCTTTGGCTTCTCAGTGCAGTGCTTTAACCCGCTGCACCACAAGGGAGGGCCCAGAAAGTGGTTTTAAAAAAAGAAAATGTAGACAAGTACCTTGTTGCCAACATATGGAAGGAACAACAAATATTGCTGGTGTTCTGAATTGGGAGAAAAGCAAGTTTCATACCTTCTGACAGGACATAGACCCAAGGAAGCGTCAGTGACATGACTTCCACTGGTCTTCAGGCCAACCTGAGACCCTCCGAGAAAATGAGCGCCTTGATGGTTATACCCACCGTGGGTCCCAAGACTCGCAGCCTGTGGCCCACCCCACTCCACACGTCGCGAGGTGGGCTTACCCCCAGAATCTTGACCTCTGCCTTTAGGTGTTTCTCCACATTGTCTTTACTCTGGTTGGTGGGCTCGGGTTTCTCTGTTTGGAGGAACTTGAGGCCATTGGGTGTGAGAATGACAATGTTCTCATTGGCCACGGGTTGTGCTATCATGGTCGTAGAGATGCTGGAAGAGAACATTAATTCAGCTTTTCAAAAGTACAGAGATCCCTGGTCAAGCTCCCCAAACTATAAATCAGGAGTTGTCTATTTTCTGTCATTTAGGCAAGGACAGTTGTATGAAGCTGTGAAAACAATGAAGTGGGTTTCCTGAGCGTTTCTCCCCAGTGTGGGGCACAGCTCATTCATTATCTGTAAGAAGTACATCAACGGCAGCACCAGGTCTTGATGGCCTCAGTGCTCAGAGGCAAATGGTCACACAAAACTTGCAATGTGTACCATCTCCAGGCCCTACCTGCAACCGAACTGCCATACACTTGATGAATGTTTGCAAGAGATGGAACTGTTCTGCTTGTCAGCCTTTTCCTATTCAGACTTGGTACTGTTGAGACTACTGAACTCTGTTCATTTTTTTTTTTTTTTTGACTATAATAACGGCATACGAGATGTCGAGCAGTGACTGGAGTTCAGACGTGTGCTCTTCCGATCCGATCTTGTTTAAGAAAAATGCATGTCAATTTGTT